AACATGGTGTTGTGATCTTTATTCCATTAAATGATCTTACAAATTGGAGTAAAACAGAAACATGCTTTTAATATACTAATAGCATAATCTCATCTCATTGCACTTTTTAAAAACTATATTAAATTTCAAAGCCACTCAAAGGCAAGGGTCTAGCAGAAAGTACTTTTAACAAATCATTTTTTTAAATAAAAAAGAAACCTGAGGAAAATTTGTGCATGTACAAGATTAGTATTAACTCCTTTAAGGCTTACATCCATGACAGCATGTATCTAATTAGAAAGTTTTGGGAATCAATGCTACCTTCCCTTGCTCATAAAAACACTATATTTAAACTTTAGTCCTGGCACACAAAATTCCTCTCCAAAGAAAAATGTCTTTCAAAAAACCCTTCTGTCCCTAAATCTGTTTTGCAAAGCTTCTGATATGGGGTACTTAGGTCGCTAATGACAGAAATTAGGATCTTGTCTTCCTTCTTGTTCATTATTTTTATTTGTGGCTTAATGTTTCACCTGTATGTGAAAGATTTGGGGGTTGAAGTCACAGTGCTGAATTTTACTTTTTAAAAGAAAAACTATGAAAAAGTGCTTTTAAAAAAACCCTAGTTACATCTGTTAGAAAATAGGATACTTGTACATTCGTTTTTCAGAGAAGGCACTATGACAACGGAGAAAAACAGCTTTAAGGAGCTTAATCCTCTGAATTAAAGGCATCCTTACTACTTCTAAACACATAAAACGCCTGGGACTGTACTGGCAAGAGACCACCTATTCTAAACCTCAGGTACAAAGTGTCCACTTGCCTCCAGACAATACAGAATTGTACTTTCTCCTTGGTACTTCCCATTCGATGAAGCAGTCTCTCTCTGTGGGCTCTGAACCACTATTTATAAAAGTGATGACTCCAGGACCACAGCCCATACCACCTGAGGCAATCCCTGGGTACGAAGCTGGGAATCTGAACTTTTTAAACAAGCCTGCTAGGTAAGTCTTATGCACTCCAAGGTAGATGAGAACCACTACCCAAAACATAGCTACAACAGGACTTACAACATAAGAAAAGTGATTTGACTGCAAATATTCTTTTACAATGGGCTTCTTGTCATTTTTAAAAATTAATCACACAAATAGTTTGTACTTTCATAACTGAAGCTTGTCTTCATTCTGCCCTTATCCCTTGACTAGAATTGTTAGATCAAAAATGTGTAAGCCAGAATGACACAGCCATGTTGACAACTTGAGATGTAACATCAAATCATCCTAAATTACATTTCAATAGTTCTAGGAAAGAAAAAAGTTCTATGAAGACTTCCATGTAAGTTACATCATTTTTTAAAAGAACCTAGGAAAAAAATTAAAACTGTTTTATTGCTTTTGCATGGACTTGACTCAACCTACTTAATTTTGCTATAACTCATACATACTTATCCAAACTCACCCTATCCAAGGCACCATTTTACAAGCCAGGTAGAACACTGTGTGTGATCCACTAATGAAACTGATCACCAGTACAAGGCAGTATAATGTGTCTGTTTGACCAAAGCGCTTTACTTCATGTAAGAGAAAAAATAAAGCAAAACAAGCCCAGGTTCCAGGGGCTCACGCCTGTAATCCCAGCACTTTGGAAGGCCAAGGCAGGCAGATTACCCGAGGAGTTGAGACCAGCCTGGTCAACATGGTAAAGCCCTGTCTCTACTAAAAATACGAAAATAAGCCGGGTGTGGTGGCACATGCCTGTAACCCCAGCTACTTGGGAGGCTGAGGCAGAAGAATCACTTGAACCCAGGAGGCGGAGGTTGTAGTGAGACAAGACCACACCACTGCACTTCAGCCTGGGCGACAGTACAAGTGTCCATCTCAAAAAAATAAACAAAGGAAACACAGGCAATTTTACCAAGTATAAAAGAGGTGTTAAAACATAAACTTCCACAGAACATTTCTTGTTATACTATGAAAATAAGGCATGACTCAGCTGGGCGGGGTGGCTCACGCCTGTAATCTCAACACTTTGGGAGGCTGAGTCGGGTGGATCACCTGAAGTCAGGAGTTTGAGACCAGCCTGATCAACATGGCAAAACCCCACCTCTAGTAAAAATACAAAAATTAGCCAGGCGTGGTGGCGTACATCTGTAGTCCCAGCTACTCAGGAAGCTGAGACAAGAGAATCGCTTGAACCCGGGAGGTGGAGGTTGCAGTGAGGCGAGACTGCACCACTGCATTCCAACCTGGGCGACAGAGCAAGACCTCTGTCTCAAAAACTAAACTGAAATAAGATAAAATAAAATAAGGCATGACTCTGAAAGTGTTTTATCGTACACAGTAGTTTCATTTTATCTACGAGTCAATCTTACAGAAAGATTTCTCAATGAAAGAATGAAAACTCTGATTCTACCATTTGTACTATAAGCAGCTCACTGAAATTATTTTTTCAAATTATCAACATTTATCCTGAAATATTTTAATAGAAAATTTTGGAAGCCTCCTTTTATATATTCATAGGAATGAGTTCCATATATTGTTACGATTGTGTAAAATTAAAAATGACTGCATGGAAAGTGGCAGAGCAAGAGACACGACACAAACACACAGTCTGAGCATCTGAACCACAAGTAAAAGGTGAAAGAAGTAAAAGACATTATTTGTAACCTGGTTATAAATCTCCCCAGGATGATTTATAGCCAGCAATGATAATGCATCTTTCATTGAAAAAGCTGATATAAAATCATCAATTTACTGTTGAGAGAAAAGAGGCCAAAGAAAACTCTTAAGAACCCTCACTGAGAAAACTTTATAAACAATTTCCAGAAGCAGAAGAAGAAAAAAAAAAAAAAAGGTGAGGGGGACTTCATCTGGATAATTAAACCAAGGTTTCTTTATAAGACCAAAACAGAAATGGTGAATTTAAATAGTAACTGATCTTAAGATTTCATTAAATCACAGATTATCACTTTTTTAAAAGTGACCTAATACTTTAGTATGAGTTTTCGACACATCACCCCTTCTTACCATTAAATTTTTTGACAGTTATTCTGAAATCTATAAATTTACTTATAGAATGTATTAAAAGATAAGTATCTCAATATTTACAGAGTCTGCTAATAGGTATGAACTTTCAGAGAGATAAGAGGTCACCTGAAAATGCACCAACATTTCAGAAGCAAGCTTTCAAGTTAACAGTCAAAGCTTGGCATCACTCATAAATGCAAGTAAACAAGCTGGAATTTTTCTAAAGTGTAACAGCAAGTGAATAAAATAGCAAGAACTATTTGCAAGATGGCATATAAATATGAGACATAGTATGCTGGGAATTTAGGACTTATAGAAATACTTCAGTGGTAAAATGTCAAAAGAAAATTATTTGATAAATTACAAGCAAAAAGGGACTTTCTTTTTTTCTACCTTCCATTCATACTTAATGTATATAAAGTTTACACTCAGATCTTACCTTCATGTATATAAAATTTACACTCTTACCTCCCTCCCATAACAAAAGTTAAATTATCTCAGAAATTAAGGCTTATATACCTGAATGTTTATATAAATACTTGCAGGCAAGTTTTAAGTTTTAAAATCCACAATAATTCCAAAAGGAAAAGCAACTAACAGATAAAACTTTATCTCCTAATCAAGGTAAACAGAAAAAAAGAACTCTTAGATACTTCTAGATATTGTTTATATTTGGGTAGGACTTTGCTCCTTGCTAAGCCAACGCTATCTTAAAGCTACCAGACTAGCCAAAGTAAAATTAAATAGATAATTCACTAAATAAAATGGGTTAATTTTAGCTTCATTATTAAGAACATCAGACAGGGCAGAGAATGCAAATTAACATTCTGAGTAAAGACCTTAAATCAGGTTATTTATTAATTGCTGCTAAGCCACATGAATTATGAAATTAGACATCAATTAAAGGCAGTAATATTTGGTAATATCTTCCCTCTAATCTTTAATAAAAGTTCTGTTCTTATGCAGAACTCTCAAAAACAAATCCCCTCAAATGACAATTACAAGACTTGTGTATAACATACATACATATGTAAACCTACAGTGAACCTGACCAAGGCACAAGTTCAAGTGACTTATCAGAGGTCACATGGTTCATTTAAACTTAGCTTTTTTCTTAAAGTATCTATCTCATTCCTTTTATTATGAGCCACCCTGGCTTTTCAAGGCACGTTTGCCTCTTTTTCTAGAAAGAAGCTATAGGGACCAAAAAAAAAAAATAGAGCAAATTGCAACAAAACTGTCAATCTACTGGGTAAAAACCTCACATTTCAGAGTATGGTATATTTAAATATGACATGATTTTTCCACAATAGGCAATAGGATTCCCTATTGTAAATTTTTTTAAAGTGTAATGACATAATTTTCAGTTAGTCTTTAGTTCTGAAGTTTCTCCAAATTTTGTAAACTTTTAAAAAAGGAATCCTTCTTGGCTGGGCACGGTGGCTCATGCCTGTAATTCCAGCACTTTGGGAGGCGAAGGCGGGTGGATCACAAGGTCAAGAGATGGAGACCATCCTGGCCAGTATGGTGAAACCCCGTCTCTACTAAAAATACAAAAAAATTAGCTGGGCATAGTGGCATATACCTGTAGTCCCAGCTACTAGGGAGGCTGAGGCAGGAGAATTGCTTGAACCCGGCAGGTGGAGGTTGCAGTGAGCCAAGATTACACCACTGCACTCAAGCCTGGTGAAAGAGTGAGACTCCAACTCAAGAAAAAAAAAGAAAAGAAAAAAGGAATCCTTCTCAAAAGAGTAAAGTATAAAAGAAATGACAAGTTTCACCCCAAAAATGGCATCTTTCATGAGGTTATCCTCCAACCCTTCCCCATCGTGTCTGCAAAATCAGGGAATCAATCTTAAAAGGCACTAAGTGGCACATAAAGAACTTAAAAGCTGCATTTCCATTTTCCTCTCGCTTCCTCCTCCATAAAGTGCACAAAGCAGAGTAATATGAAAATAGACACAGGCTTGCATCTATAACAGCAAGGAAAAGAAATGCTTCCAAGAGAAATGGAAGTGTGTTTAATAATCAGAAACCACAGGAGAGGTCTGCTCATTTATTACAGGGCCATGTTTTAGCTCTTCCTGGATGGTCTCAGATCTGCCATTCCTCTAGATATGAACCTGTGGCCGTGGCAGAAACCCAGAAATCAGTAGGGGTTCGTTTTTTTTGTTTGATCTTCATGTTAAGATGCTATTGAGCTTTTTTAACCTGGGGTGGTCTTCCAACAACTGCATCCCTCACGGTGGCCTGAGTGGAATTACCGATATGAGAAGAAGCCTGCAAAAGTCCATTTATTCAACATGTAAGTTAATAAAATACAACACAGCAACAAGAAAGTAAGTCCTTAACCTTTCAAAAACCTGTCTCCATCATCAGCATGTTACAGAAAGCACTGTAATGAAAATGCAGGGATACAGGGAAGCTGTGGCAGGAACTAACTCCCAAGAGAGCCAGGGGAACATCTGCTCTGTGGCTGGGGTAGGATAGGCAGCTCCTGTGGCTTCACAAGCTGCTAACCCAACTAATCTGTTCATGTTACTCAGAAAAACAAATGTATCATCTCAAAGATGTACAAAATTTGACCATGTCAATGTCCAAGAGTTACTGGGTTAGTCGGGTGTGGTGGCACTCGCCTGTAACACCAGCTGCTTGGGAGGCTCACTTGAGGCGGGAGGATCACTTGAGCCCAGGAGTTTTAAGTTACAGTCAGCTAAGATACCAGCCTGGGTGACAGAGCAAGACCTCGTCTCCAAAAAAAATTTTATAAATAAATAAATAAGCAACCCAATAAGTAAATAAGCAAGTCACTGGCTTTTGGAAGATTTTTAAATAAAAAGAGATACCATCCCTTTCCTAATCCAGTAGGACTCAAAACCGAACATTTTTCGTTAAGTTCATAATTTTTTCAAAGCTCTTGATTTTCAGTGAAATTAATCTGGGGGCGGGTGAGAAGGGAGAATCACATAAAAATTATGTCTGAAGAGTATGTAATTAGAAGTTGCCGGCCAGGTACGATAGCTCATGCCTATAATCCTAGCACTTTGGGAGGCCGAGGCGGGTGGATCACCTGAGGTCAGGAGTTCAATACCAGCCTAGCTAACATGGCAAAATGCTATCTCTACTAAAAAATACATAAAAATTAGCTGGGTGTGATGTCGGGCACCTATAATCCCAGCTATTCTTCGGAGGCTGAGGCAAGAGAATCTCTTGAACCCAGTGGGCAGAGGTTGCAGTGAGCCATGATCACACCATTTCACTCCAGCCTGGGCAAAAGTGTAAAACTCTGCCTCAGGAAAAAAAAAAAAAAAAACGTTGCCAAAGGGAAACACAATCAGTATGTCTAAGTTGCAATGTTTTTGCATTAAAGGGCTATTTCTGGGCCGGGCGCAGTGGCTCACACCTGTAATCCCAGCACTTTGGGAGGCCAAGGCAGGCGGATCATGAGGTCAGGAGTTCAAGACCAGCCTGGTCAACATGGTGAAACCCTGTCTCTATTAAAAATACAAAAACTAGCGGGCCGTGGTGGCACACACCTGTAGTCTCAGCTACTTGGGAGGCTGAGGCAAGAGAATCGCTTGAACCTGGGAGGCTGACATTGCAGTGAGCCAGGATCATGCCATTGGACTCCACCCTGGGCAAGAGAACAGAGCGAGACTTTGTCTCAGAAAAAAAAAAAAAGAAGGTTTGGGGGGGCATTTTTAGGCATGGAAACAAAATATTAAGAATAAATATTAATATCCTAAAGGATGATAAAACATAAAGTCTATCAGAAAACGAAGGCCAAGGGAGTGGCCATTGTCTCATGTCTTTGCTATGAAATTCTTCCAAACTAAGATATTTCACAACAGAAGCACAAATATCTGCCTATTATCAACCCTTAGGCTCTTCAGCAGCACCACTTACCTGCTCCAACACATATGCGGCACCAAAATCAATAGCTCCGCCCAGCTCACGATATTGACCAGAATACCTGATGTAGCCCCAGGTGAGGAGCGCTATTAACAGTAGTCCAACCATACAGTTGAACAACTGGGCTACAACCTCAAGACCTATGAAGCCAGTGAGGCCTGAGGCTATGTACAAAGCTACAATGCCCGTGAACAGCACTGCAGGGGTTCGGAAGGTGCTGAAGACGTTCTTGCTACCATTGTGCTTGCAGAAGTTCTCATATAATTCCTTGATTTCCTCCTCCAGCTCCTGCTGGTAACGAAAGCTGAAATCCTTCCCACCCATCTTCTTGGTCTTCTTAAAATGGTCCAGAGCAAGTTGTTTGAATTCACAGTGCTTCTCCTCTAGAATGTCTGGGGACAAATAAGGTTTCTCTCCCCCACAAACCTAAGAAGAACAAAGACACAATATGTTAAAAGATCTCTTCAAAAACAACTGCCAAATAAAACATGAAAAGATAATGAAGGGATTAAAATGTTTTAAGATGTTAACAATATATTAATAAGTTAACTTTTAAAAGATGACTAAGACCAATAAAGTCTAGTTTCACTTCCTCTGAAAAACACACTTAAAAAACCAGGGTGATAATATTAATTGGAAAGAGCAGTGACATTGGGCCAGGCACAGTGGCTCACGCCTGTAATCCCATCACTTTGAGAGGCTGGGGCAGGCAGATCACTTGAGGTCAGGAGTTCGAAATCAGTCTGGCCAACATGGTGAAACTCCGTCTCTACTAAAAATACAAAAAACATTAGCCGGGCATGATGGCAGGCACCTGTAATCCCAGCTACTCAGAAGGCTGAGGCAGGAGAACCGCTTGAACCCGGGAGGCGGAGGCTGCAGTGAGCCGAGATCGTATCACTGCACTCCAGCCAGGGTGACAGAGTGAGACTATGTCTCAAAAAAACAAAACCAAACAGTCAACTTCTGGGGGACCCAGGTGAGAAAGACCCACCTACGTCCTGGTTGAGGGTCTTCAGGGTTCTTTGGGACCCAAGGATTCCTGAAATCATGGATCACGCACGTACGCTTTGAGACATGCTTTTTTTTTTTTTCTGGAAGCCCTGCGACTTCCCTAAAAATTGAATTATAGAACAGACCTATGACCAATGGTGGCAGAGTCTACACAGAACTATGCTTCCTGGTGTTCTGGGGAAACCTTTCGACTTGCTGGCTATACTATTCAGTATGGCTGTATAGCTCACTGTGCTTTTGAATACGTTGGTGGTGTTGTCATGTGTTCTGGACCATTAGTGGAGCCTACAATTCAAAATTCAGATATTGTCTTTGAAGAAAATCTTAGCCGACATTTTTATAGTATCCAAAGAGGTGACTGCAAAAAGCCCAAGTGATCCAAAATCAAATATTTGTAAAAGAGTAACTGGTTTGGAAGGAGACAAAATCCTCACCTCTAGTCCATCAGATTTCCTTAAAAGTCACAGTTATGCCCCAGTGGGTCATGTCTGGTCAGAAAGTGATAATCTACAGAATTCTACAGATTCCAGGTACTATGGACCTACTCCATGTGAACTAATAAGAGCACGAATCTTCTTATTTGGCCTCTGAGTGATTTTGGATTTTTATGTGCCAGCCTTAATGGCCACAGATTTTCTGATGATTAGTAAGCATTTATTCTTTTGACTTGATTACTGTCTCCTGTTCGTGTGAATTTATTACTCCCACTGAAACCATGTACTTACCAATAAACTATTTGCTATTCAAACAAAACAAAACAAAAACAAACAAAAAAAGAAATGGTAATAATTAGAAGGCCCCCGTTACCAGGACAACCTGAATATAACTTTGTTGCCTCACCACTTAAAGATACATTAAGTAGGATCAAGTTGGGCTTCTGAAGTCCGCAACAATGCCCAGACAGGTTATAGATATTTCAGAATGAGGCATATGTCCCACGTACCTCTTCCATGTTGTTATAATAAATGTCCTTGGCAGAGGCTGCAGCTGCTAAGTTGTTGGCTTCAGCAGTGGCCTTTTAAGAGAGAAAAACATGAACTATAAATCCTTCCTCTTTTAACATTCCTCCACAAATGACCTAATAAAAAATCTTCTCTATTCCCCATTCTTCCTATTTTTCTAGATTTGCATATAGTTCAACTGATGAAATAAAATACTTTCTCTGCCAAGTTTTCTACCCAAAAAAATGGGAGAAGTTCATATACATAGAAATACGTATTCTTATACATAAGAATCTTTAGCAAAAATTAAATCTCCAAAATTCAAGGAAAATATTTCATTGCATCATTTTTTAATTGTTTAAATTTTATTTTTTTGAAACAGAGTCTCACTCTGTCACCCAGGCTAGAGTTCACTGGTGATCTCAGCACACGGCAACCTTCATCTCCTGAATGCAAGCCATCCTCCTGCCACTGCGTGCCACCACGCTTGGCTAACTTTTGAAGTTTTTGTTTTGCACAGCTAGAGTCTCCCTATATTGCCCAAGTTGATCTTGAACGCCCAGGCTCAAGTGATCTGCCCACCTCAGCCTCCCAAAGTGCTGGGATTACAGGCGTAAGCCACCACAACACCTGGCTCCACTGCTTCAACTTTAAAAAAATAGATGTGAGTCAAAAAAATAAATAAAAAAATAAAAAAGAAGGAAAGGTTGGGTGCGGTGGCTCATGCCTGTAATCCCAGCACTTTGGCACTTTGGGAGGCCAAGGCTGGCAGATCACAAGGTCAGGAGTTCAAGGTCAGCCTGGCCAACATGGTGAAACCCCATCTCTACTAAAAACACAAAATAATTAGCTGAGCATGGTGGTGCGTGCCTATAGTCCCAGCTACTCAGGAGGCTGAGGCAGGAGAACTGCTTGAACCCGGGAGGTAGAGGTTGCAGTGAGCCGAGATAATGCCACCGTACTCCAGCCTGAGCAATACAGCAAGACTCTGTCTCAAAAAAAAAAAGAAAAAAAAAGGAAAAAGCTGGGATTAGTGGCTCATGCTTGTAATCTCAGCACTTTGAGAGGTGAGCCATTGGAATCTCCTTTTCCATTAACTTAGATGGGTTTTAATACATACGGTAATCAGTACCTGGTAACTGCTCTTTGGAAAATTCACCAGCAAATATCTGTTCACAAGGACCACAAAGAAAGGAAAAAATAAGCCAAACCAGCCTATTCAACCAAAAGTGAACATAAAATGCCAAGCTTTCCACGTCAGTGCTGTACATTGGTTGTTGAAGTGGGAGAGAAGCGGCCTGGGGTGGCCTTCCTGCCCATAATCCC